AGCCGGGGCCAGTGACGTCACGGCGGCGCCATCGGCGCCCGCCTCCCACCATCGATCGCGCAGTGAGGCGGTGGGCTCGGCCGGGGCGCGCGGGGCCGGTGGCGACAGAACGTCCGGCGGCCGGCGCGCCGCTCGCCCGCTCCGCGCTCGACATGGAGATCAAGACGCTGCACAAGAGCAGCACGTTCGGCTCGCTGTCGAGCGGCACGCAGCGGCTGGGCAGCTGGTTCAGCCAGCTGGGCGAGCGGCGCCGGCGCAGCGCCATCCGGAAGAGCGTCACGCTGAACGCGGGCCTCGGTGAGTGCCGCGTCCGGCGGAGGGGGGCGGCGCCGGCCGGCTCCCCGGCCCGACATGACCCGACCCGTGCCCCAGCTGCGGACCAGGCCCCCGTCCCCCCCCCCCGCCGGCCCGGGCGCCCTGGCCTCCCAAACATGGCGGTCGGGACGCAGCCACGGTCGCGAGTCTCGGCGAGGGGAGGGTAGCGTGGCCTTCCGCGGCCGGTGGGGCCCGGTCCGGCCGGCTGGCTAGTCCCGGTGGCCTGGTGTCAGCTGGGCCAGCCGGCTGCACTCACGCGCAGCTCGTCCCGGCCGCGCATGACGTGAAGCCTGAGTGCGGACCCGCGTCGCGTGCCGGCCTGCCGACGCCAACTGGTGTGTCTCTTGCGATGGAGGTTGGCTGGGCCGACGAGACTGCGACAAGGGGCATCCATGATCTGCCTTCTCTTCAGGGCGTTGAACTTTGGGGCTGTACCCGGTCGACGCTACCCCCATGTTTAGCTGTTTGCAGTTTGTTGTCTTTGTAAATGTATTTATTTACCGCGGCGTACCATGTAGGCGAATGGGGACGCCCGCCGGTCTAATCGTTGCACTTGTCATGTCGTGTACTTGCCGGTGCATTTTGGGATTTGAGTTGTTCGCGGAGCTTTTTACCACAAGCGTGGCTTATCTAGCTTGTGATCCTCTTTCTAAACCGGACCCCGTGCGGGTGACGTCACGGCCGTGGTCGCTGCCGCCGCCCCCGGCCTCAAAAGCTCAGCTGACGCATCACAAGCCCGACTGCCCTCCTCAGTTTCTACCGGCGCACAACGCGCTCTCTGAAAAGGCGTCGTTAAAATGGGACGCGGGCTTGTAGCCAGCAGTGCGGAAATAAGCTTGCTGAGAGAGTCTAACAAGATAGGTGGGTTTCCAAAAACAAATCCAGATGCTTAGAAGCCTCGCTTTCCTGAATAAGCACGGTGGAAAGTGCTTCGGGGTCATTCACTTTTTACAAAGAAAAGGAGGACGCTGATATACGTTTTAAGGTGATAGCGGCGCCTCAGCGAATGATGTATATATATATATATATATATATATATATATATATATATATATATAAATACTTGTGTACACGTGCTAATAATTGGGTTTTAAAGGCGCATCACCGTAGAGGGTATTTGTATAGATGCTGATTAGTTTATGATGACTAACATTGTGAATTTCATATTTTGCTTTGAATGTTCATCACTCGGCTACTTTACAGATTTAATTGCATTCTAAGAGATCAGTACACGCAATTAACGCCCAAAGGTGCGCCAAGAATGCACCTTAGCTAATGCTGGGATGCCTCGAGATTCACACAGTAGAGATCAATGAAGGGAATCCCCAAAACTTGCTTCATCCCCGGCGCTGGTTTGCCGGGTTAAGCGCTCACCGTAATGATATAGCACATGCTGGAGCTATGCTGCCAATCTGGCTTGGTTCACGAGGAGGTCCGGCCTCATCGAACTGGACACAGTTTTGGATCGGAACCAGACCCTAGTCGGACCTGTGCTTTGACGTGGACCGTCAGATTATGGATTTTTCGAATGTCGAGTAATTGTGCCACAAGTTCTGAGGCTTCGCTTACCAACTTACGCTTACCACGGCCCATAATATGCGCACTTCACGGAACTCGTGACCTTTCGAAACTGCGTGCACTGCTTAATCCCGGGCTGGACATTGGTGCGTACTCAGGTTTTCTAGTCTTTTATGCGTGGAATTCTTCATTCCTGGCGGAATACGGAACACACCGGGCAGGTTTCTCCCCAAGCCGGTCCTGTTAGACTGCTGGTGACGCAACGCTCTCTTGACGACATTATTGTAGCTGTTCCGCTCGGTCAGGCTCCTCTCGTCAACGTTAGGTACTGCGGCTATAAGATGGAAACGAGAATGAATAAAAGCGCATAAGTCCAGTCCTAACGAGAAGCGAAGAAAAGCGTTCAAGTTAGTCCCTGCCAGCCCGTGGCGTCTTTTAGCTTTGGAACTGGAAGGTTTTGTATCAAACTTATGTATGTTTCCGGAGTGAAGGAACAGCAGGTTGAGGTGTATTTTTCATGCTATCACACATATTTACTCACACATTGTGTGTGCACCCTCACATGACGCCCACAGGTATATGTTTTGGCCTTGGTTGAAACGTCACAGGGCCCGTACCATACCATCAGGTAGGAAACCAATCTATCCTTCCTGACAGTGTGAAAACATTACCTCGTACTGACTTGTTTTTGTGTCGGTTTGTGGATGGGTAGATGCGAAGCAAAAACCTGTACTGGTTATTGCGCTTTTATTGTCCCCGTAATTTTTAGTGGAGGGGGGGAGTTTGCACAACTGGCAGAGCCGTCACGGTTTTTGTTTGTGACGAAGCAGTACCGTGGAGGCTTGGCGACAGTTCGCTGATGTCAGAATTGAAATAACTGCGTGCAATGGCGTCCGTAATTTCGTGACTTACATGAGATCGTTTTCTCGAATATTTGGGATAATCAACGTAATAGTAAAAACTATTGCGAATTATTTCCACAATTTGTGCCACTCAAGCTTATTGTGTGATGCAAACGAACAAAATTATTGTTTATTTCTGTTGAATATTTTAGGAGAAGGACTTAGGACCGGAAACGACCACGCAACATCTATGTCGCATGTGCTGGGATCCTCTGGTTTAGATGGATATCAGAGACAGGGCGCAAATAAAACCAGGGAAGTTGAGTTCTCGTTACCAAACATCTCGGGTTAGTTGAGTCGGCTGTAATTAAGCTCCCAGCGGAAAACTGCGCTGTCTGATGTCTGCGGAGTCTGATGGACGTCATAGCACCCATCAATGGGTAGGGGTTTGTAGAAGTGAAATTCTTTCTTTGCATAACCGTAAGGTAAATCTCAAATTTCACGGGAGGGGATTATGAAGTGAGTGAGGGAGTGTGTGTGTGAGTGAGGGAGTTGTGAACAGGGGAGCTCACTCTGCTCCCCAGCTGCTTCGGCCTGAGGCTAAAAGCTGAAAGTTGAAACCGGACGATGCTGGGTTTTCGTGTCATTACATCTGGGAGGAGTTTCATCAGTGTATGACGTCACAGGTATGACCGGCTTCCCACGTCACGCGCAATGTTCTATATAGCGGGTTGGTAGGGCTGACCAGCACCAAAAAGCTAGAGGAACAGGAGTGCCGCCGATATCAAAACTCAATATTCTCCTGGTGCTGATACTAACAACTGTTTCAGAAGAATAAGGGCAGCTGCACACAGTCACGTTTGTAACAATCCAACAAAAGCTCTTCTTTCTCCCACCTCACGGTGGTGGCCATGTGGCAAAATACATGGAGAGCAAGTCCCAGGCCTAGTAGTCAGGTTCTTCTTTTAGCTGATGGGGTCGTCTCGTACAGGGTTTTCTGTGCCTTGTTCCACGGCTATCTAGTGCGGTTGGATCCCGTTGGCCAAGAGCCTCAGCTGGGTAACAAAAAGACACACTCCCTGACACACTCGTGAAGCGGTATGGAATCGTACACTGACTACCACAGTCAGCGACGCGGGGAACGGAAAACAACCACCAATGTATGGAAAACTGGCTTTTGGGCACCATCACACCTGTAACAAGCCGGCGCGTGGCACTGCTTAGGGAGGGCGCCACCTCTGGGGCTGCTGCAAAAGAAGTCTGCAGTGTCCGCGCCGGGTTAATCGTCACTGCACACCGGATTCGAAGAGCATACCGTGTGGTCCGAAACAGACACGCATAATCCAATATCTTCGGGTGATCTTGCTTTGGTTTGCTTTGCTTTGTCTTTGGAAGCTTTGCCACGCAAGTTTGCACTATTCCGTTTACATAAGCCCAAGCTAATCCAGACAGCGAACTTAACGAATATTGACGCCGTGGTCCGCGATAAATCTCGCCTTGAACATGTGCAGTGGATCGTACAACGGCCTTGCCTCGATCTAATCAGTTGCAGTAGCATAGGTGCAATGCAGAATGAAGCCAGATGGTGGCGAAATGCCAAGCCAAGAAACCTGAGAGATGGATTGTCCTTCCCCTTCTAATTTCCGGCGGCTAAGAAGCAATGCCGGATGTTTCTGGTCTGGTTTTATCACACATGTTCTGGCTAAACGTTGATTTAATTGTAGTTAAAGGGAATGCTGCACATTTGAAGGAATTGAAACGAGCATTTGACATTATGAAGTGGGCTCACTTTTAACTTAGATAGTTTAGTTAGTTTAGACTTAGTTTTAAGTGGAAAAGACTGCTGTAGACAAAACAATTCCTCTAGTTAGTAAATGTGTTGTTCAATGCGTCGTTGTTTAATTGCGTCATCATACCTTGCACAACATTGATTGAGAGCCACTTGACGGCCTTTACATCTGGAAATCCTACTCACCAACGCCAGACATGTACAACGAGACCATTGTATTTTCTTGGCCTCGATCGCCGTATGGCCAATGGAATGACGAAATTTGAATGACGTTATTTTGGCGTCATGGATGCCTGGGTGACCTTGACATGTTTTGTACAGAAAAGTCTGCATCTTTGCGGACGTGTAGCTCAGAAATGAAAAGGCTTAAGTCTCAAGATGGACAGAGCTGTTAACTGCACTGAATGATCTTTAAGGTGGCTATTTCGGTGCAAAACCCCATACAAATGTTGAAGGCTCAGTTTTAGCCGTGCGCACCGAAATTAATCATGGCTATTTATACGATAAAAGCCCAAATACCTAACCCCCAGGCCTAACTTTCCGCATTTGTTCTGCTTTTTTTGTGTGAAATGCCGAAAGCTCGCTCTGTTGGGTGCATTATCGTTTGTTCTTTGGGGGAAAGGCTGCGCAGCTGTCACCACGGGACACGTTGTACTGGATGACACTATCTTTTTCGCGCCTCTGAAGAGGGGGTGCTACTCATTCTCACCTCCCAGGAGTTGATCTAGCTCTGTCTCACCACCTGGTGGATAAGACAACACTTTGACACATCTCAGGAGCTCCAACGCTCAGAAGCTCTTACGCCCCTGGGCTTGTAGAAGCACTCAGTCACA